CGGTCGCCCGGGCCGAGATTGGGGGGGCGAGGTGGGGGACGGAAGGCCGATGCCTCCGTTGCCCGGCCCTCTACAGAATCCACCCCCCAAACCTCCAGGTATTTCCCTCCTTAGAGCTGGCAACCCTACATTCCCCTCAGTGCCTGTTGGTAGGCAACTAAGCTTGGTCCTGTCACCTACTTTGGCCTTTGGGAGAAAACACATTGGGGCCAATCCTGATAGGGTTGCCAACTCCAGATGGGAAATTCCTGGAGACTTGAGGGATGGAGCCTGAAGAGGGTGAGGTTTGAGGAGGGGTGGGACCTCAGACAGGTACACTGCCATAGACTCCACCCTCCAAACCAGTCAGTCCCACATAGGGAACCATTGTTGCCAATCTCCAGGTGAGGGCTGGAGAGCACTCAGTATTACAACTGCTCTGCAGAAGGGAGGGCAGAAGTCAGCTGAAGTCAAAGGGGCAGATAATGGTAGGTTGGTGGCTAGCTGGGAAGGAGATGGGGTTGCCAACTACATGCTGACAAATTCCTGGGGATTTGAGGGGTGGAGCCTGGAGAGGGTGGGGTTTGCAGAGGGGTGGGACCTCAGACAGGTAGAATGCCATAGACTCCACCCTCCAAACCAGCCATTTTGTCCTGGGTAACAATTGTTGCCAATCTCCAGGTGAGGGCTACAGATTACTCACAATTACAACTGCTCTTCAGGTAGCAGAGATCAGTTCCTCTGGAGAAAACAGTGGACTCTGTCATTATACCCTGCTGAGGTCACCACAGCAAATTGACACTGTTTGCCCAAAGCCAGAGCACTGCCCCAGAGCCTCTTTCTAGATCTCGTTGTATTGCTTTCACAACGGGCTTTACTGCTAGTTATACAATATTACTGTATTATAAAATATTACAACCATACGTTGTATGGTTGGAAGGGGTTGGAAAGGGTTGGAACACTTTCCCTATGAGGAAAGGTTAAGGCGCTTAGGGCTCTTTAGCTTGGAGAAACGACGACTGAGGGGTGACATGATTGAGGTTTATAAGATTATGCATGGGAAAGAGCAGGTAGAGAAAGAGGTACTTTTCTCCCTTTCTCACAATACAAGAACTCGTGGGCACTCCATGAAACTGCAGAGCGGTCGGGTTAGAACGGATAAAAGGAAGTACTTCTTCACCCCAAGAGTGATTAACACTTGGAATTCACTGCCACAGGAAGTGGTGGCGGCTACAAGCATGGACGGCTTCAAAAGGAAATTAGATAAGCATATGGAGCAGAGGTCCATCAGTGGCTATTAGCCACAAGGTATAGATAGGGACTCTGGGGCAAGTGATGCTCTGTCATCTTGGTGCTTAGGGGGGTCAACAGTGGGATGGCTTCTAATGTCCTGGCCCCACTGGTGGACCTCCTGATGGCACTGGTATTTCTGGCCACTGTGTGATACAGAGTGTTGGACTGGATGGGCCTTGGCCTGATCCAACATTGGCATCTCGTATGTTCTTATGTATGTTGTCGAAGGCTTTCATGGCCAGAGTTCATTAGTTGTTGTAGATTTTCCGGGCTATATGGCCATGGTGTTGGCATTGTAGTACCTGACGTTTTGCCAGCAGCTGTGACTGGCATCCTCAGAGGTATAACACAGAAAGATGGAGTACTCTCTGTGTCAATGTGAGAAGAAAAATGGTAGGCAGGTAATTTATATCTACTCAGGAAGGTGGGGTGGGGCTGAGTCATTATCTTGTAGGAGTTTCCCAGGCTGTGACATGCTAATGGAGGCACTTTCCTGAGGAGGTTCTTTTGCATACGGATTGGCTGTTGAAATTCTAATCTTATCTGTTGTGCTGTTGTAAGATGTAGAGCATGTTTTGTTTTTCAGAACAGGAAACCATGCCCTATTTATTTTTAAACTCTCTTCTTTCCTGTTAAAATTGTGTCTGTGTTTATGAATTTCAATGGCCTCCCTGTGTAATCTGACATGGTAACTGGATGTGTTGTCCAGCATTTCAGTGTCTTGGAATAAGATAATGTGTCCTGTTTGAGTTAGGCTATGTTCAGCCACTGCTGATTACCCTGCACTTGTGGAAAGGTTTACATCGGGACCACACAGCGTAGCATCCAGACTAGAATAAAAGAACATGAAAGACACTGCAGACTTGCCCAACCTGAAAAATCAGCAATGGCTGAACATACCTCAAATCAGTAAGCAGGTTATCGTAATGATGCTATATCAATATATCTGCAAGCAATTTTTAAAAGAGTAAGCAAAACAGCTGCAAGTGGCAGCAGATATCAGGCACAAGGGGATATGGTGCTGAAAGTGGGCAGGGAGGTGCAGAAATCTGCATCTCTCTGTCCACACAAATCCCAAGCATGCAACAGACCTGGGAAAAGCCCCAAAGGTGGACCAATGCATGGAGAGGGTGTGCTGAAGCCTCCCCCCCAAAAGCCCTGCTGCAGTTTTGGTGAGGTTAAGCAATTTATGTGTACTTGGGCTTGAGGTCCAGAGCTGTCTCAGGTAGGGACTGTGGCTCATTGGTAGAGTATCTGCTTGGAATGTTGAAGGTCCCTGGTTCTGTCCCTGGGATCGTCTGTTAAAAGTATCAAGAAACTCTTCATCCTAGAGAGCCCAGAGAGCTGTTGCCAGTCGGTATAGACAGTACTGACCTTGATGGACCAATGGTAATAAGCAGCTTTGTGTGTCTTAGCAGGTGCTACAGAGAACAGGAGTATGCACCATTGACTCCTGTGGTTGGCTTTCAACATGAAGCCTCTTGACTGGCTGAGTCTGGTATGGCATGATCAACCTTCTGTCTGGCATGATCAACCAAACGGCATTTTC